GGTCTCAGTGACTCAAATTAGCTTTTCAATAGTGCTTAAATCTTGAAATATTTTCATATTTGATAGCTCTGTTCGTTTTTCAGATTTTTTTTGGAATGAACTATTTATCTATAAACCGGAAGATTTTTTTCCAAATTCTTCATTTTAAGTGACTTAAAAATAAATAGATTTTCAGCCTTTTTCAGTGTCATCGAAACCTGAACATCCCGTGTAGAAGGAAATTCGAGAAGGCACGAAAAGTTATTTCTCAAACAATAGCTGTCAGAGCAAAAGATCTTAGTTCTTTAGTTGGATGAGAAATTGTGCAGTTGAGAATCAAGAGATGAGAGTAGGAGCGAGTTATTACTTCTAAAAAATGTTTAGGGTACTACTAAAATGAATCTTTGCAATTCGGAGGCACCTACACATTAAGTAAGTTCAAACTTTAAAATGAATAGTTAAGTTACTTGTTACAAAGAGTATATCCTTTCCCCTCAGTTAACTTTCAATGATGTGTAGTTATAGAGAGATATATGTCATTTCAGTTGATTGTTCAGTTGCTTTTCTATCAATAACGTCTACTACCACGTGTTACATATTCCCAACTACCGAATGCCCCGACGTGCAATGTTTTATGGTGTAGGAGTAGGTTGGAGGTAAGCTGGGGGCGGCCAGACCAAAACGTGACACAAATCCATGAAGTCGCTGACAAGTGGACTGAGCCATGTTGGTAGATGTAGACTACCTGGTTGGGATTCGCGAGATGATAGCAACCGATGGTTAGAGACCTTGAATGACATGGCTCAAAATCGTTTGCAATGGCGAAGGTGCATCCACTCTTTGTGTTCTACCAAATTCTAATCTTCTGAATCCTTCATGTCTTTATCTTTTTTCTCTTTCCAAATTTATTTCACTGTATTATACTCCTTCAATAACATCTTCAAACCCTAATCTTTCGGACTACTGTTTATACTCTTACTACATCTACCATTATGAGATTTGAATCGACAACTTCATCTCTGTGCTAATGTGGTATGGCAACTCGAACTGATGTACGTACGTACCAAGTTCTACGTTGTGACTGACTGACTGACTGAATTGTTTAGTTGGTCAATATTTCAGTTCACATTCGTCATTTCAATGTATCATTTCAATGGATGATGGTTTGAAACTTTCGTACCACCTGATAACTGGCTGACAAGGTAGTTACGTCTTCAAATCATTTTGAATAGCTCTCTGGGTTTTCAAAAAAATGGGTCTCAGACTTTGAATAACTGATTGGACCCAAATATAGTTTAGCGCGTTACTTGATCATGCTAGTGTGAAGTCGTTTTAAAAAGTAATCAACCAACAGAAAATTTTTTAAAATTGTGTATGACCACACTCGTGCGTTTAAATGAGCATGACCAGAAAGTTCACGTGTGGTAATGCAATTAATTTCGCGTTATGCAGTCTATATTATCAACTGCTAAGTCCCACTTTCTATTCTGCTGTAACCGTCTTTTGCGCTTCGTAATCTTTAAAATCCCAGCTTATTAGTTAACAGTTGATTAGAGATATCAATTAAAGGATTTCGATACTTCTACACCCTATGTCAATTGCATCAAATAATCTTCAAATATCAGTGTGTTGTGTGAATAGTATGCTTATGTAAAGTATCATTTTGTTCTGATTTTAGCCTCCATTCGATGGTGAAGATGAAGAAGAATTATTTCGAAATATTGCTTCGCAAGACGTTGCTTATCCCCGACATATGTCTAGAGAAGCTTGTATGCTATGCCGTGGTGTAAGTGGACAGTTACCTTTAGATATATATGTTTACTGACAGAAAAAGACACAAACTGCTGCACAGCTTCTTTATTGTTGAGCTTTTTCTAGTTATAAAATTTATCTAATACAATCTGTGCCTATCACTATACTAAGTAACTAAAGATTGAAAATGAGCAAAAGACATTCATACTAACCTGCTCCATTTAAAAGATCCTTTAGGATTTACCTATCTGTAACTTGTTTTGTTCTCAGGTCAACCAGTTTTCCAGATTTATATACCGTTTGATAAATATCCCAAATAATAACTTATTCGAATGAAGATTTAGTTTGATGGTTTTGTGAAAAATAGATATTTAACAGAAACTCTAATGATCAGTTAAATAAGTCGGATTAATTTAAATGACTTACTAAATTGTTTTAGGAGTTCAAAGTAATTATACATCCACTAACCGAATTCTCCATTAATAATAATTCAAAAACGTTTTACTTTTAAGTAAATATATTAGGTTGCTGCTATATTGCAATAAAGTAGTTACACTAAATCTTATTATTGATCGGTAGAACGGGATAAGCCGTTCGTGTACCGTTGACGAATTTCATATCTCTGAGAAAGGAGTGTGTTTATTTAAAGTTGTAGATCGAATTTTCTGGACTCATCAACTAAAAGAAAGTAAATATACTTCTATTTGCTTTGACTGATTGTTATTTGCCTACAGTAATTAAGAAATATAGATACTTAGTCGGTTTAAGACGCTACAGAATAGTCATTTTAGAAAGTTCACCATCTCTGGGCAACAATCAATTATTCTGATAACAAGTGACTCTTTAATCTATTGCATTTGAACCTATAGGTAAGCAGCATATCACACTAGTAGTATGAACAACATTTAAATAACACATTTGATGTTTGACTCCTTTTCATCCGTAATCACCAGTGCAACAATCGTATCAGACTTCCGAAAATGATAATTTAATTTAATTTTTTATGGTTAGTGATTACGATTTTCGGTCGGTAGCTGAAAGACACCAAAGAATCGGGGCAATTGAAATTTTCTTCTGTTTCTACGAACATGTCGAGGTGGATACATCTTTTCGGTGTACGAGATAAATATTTATGTTTCAAATTTATAAAAATTATTACCTGACCGTTATTTGATAATTAATTGTATTATATTTATCCGCGTTGTTTCATTAGTTACTTATACGAAACCCTAAAGAACGGCTTGGGTGTGGACCGAATGGGGAAAAAGATATTCGGCAGCATCAATTTTATCGTCACATCGATTGGCATAAATTGTCAAATTTGGAAATCCAACCGCCATTCAAACCTCGTATTGTAAGTTTATTATTAAAATATACTTCAACCGAAGGATTTCTTTTACATAACTTTATATATCACTGATTTTAGGCTAGATTGAAAAATCTTGTATTCAGTGTAAATTTATGTGAGTCTCCTAACTTTAAAAGCATTTTCGTCAGCGGCATTCATCCACCACATAACATTAAAACATAGGGGATGCGATGTTGAGTAATTTTCAGACTGATGGCTATTTTGAAACTTGGTCTGTAGAATGAGATCAGATGTATATGAGATTAGTTGCCATTCAGTAGTCAGTCAGTGTAAACTTTGCAACAAATACCTCAAGTGGAACTGGTGCGATATCAGAATATCTATAAAAAAACTAACTATATTAAACTGAAGTTCCTCTTCACTACATTAGGTTTGTTAACGACACGTAGAATGAAATGAAAGTCATTTAATAATGCACACATTTACGTAAAGCATTATCACAGATTTGATTATAAGAAGGTTGGGTATTCATCTTATTACAAGGATTAATCGGTAGGGTCAAGAATTTGAAATGACGTTGCTGTCGGGGAACGCAAAATTACTTAGGAGTAGACACAGAAAGAAATACACAAGGATGACAGAACGTTGAAACATCGATCACGATTATCTGACTCTCGTAGCCTTAAGACAGAACTTCTTGGTGATGAACTTCCATTACGGTTTCGAAAGCGCCTATGATTGTGATGAATATTAAGACAACGAGTGAAAGAATGACAGTGATCTGTAACGTCATTTTATCCCACTTGAGGTTTTTTGACAAAATGGAACTTGATGCCTAAATGTTCTGATATTATCCAGGATTCAGTCGGTAGATGTAGCCATTTCGTCCACCGCGTTATTTCAAAATGAGACGAGAACTTACAGTACCTGTTGGGGGAGCTTGAAAGGAAGTGATTTCTTAACCGGTCGCTGTCAAAGGTTCGTTGAACAATGGTCTCACGTATACGTAGAAATATTTCTGTTGCTGAGCCTTGTTACAACTCGATGCATTGAAAAAGTTGATCTAACCCTTGTCGGCCGGTTGGGTTTTCACCTTTAAGGGCAGCCATTTTTAACGTTTCGTGAAGTATATAAATATAACTGGTAAGACATGCTTCCTATGATGCACCAGTTGAAGCCCCACCCTCATTACTACGGGAAATCGATCGAGTGAGTCTGTAGGGCCCTGCTCGAGGACGTTTGCTTCCGCGTGGCTGAATCAAGCCTCGATATTATCGTGCGAGAATGCCATGACTTGAAAGGTGTTAATCAGAAATCTTAAACCTAAACAACGTTTGTGTCTGTTCTGTTACGACGAAGATAAGGTACACAAATGGGCAAAAAAAGCACCAAAACAATATCGAAGTAAGTAAAAACAGAAATTGAAAAATGGTACAACAAGGGACAGATTCCCAGTTTATTGTTAAAGATATCACAGGTATTCGAAGTTTGACAAGGCTCCTACACTTAACAGTTGTATGATCGAAGTGTTCTAACCCAGTTAAATCAGAAGCCAGAATTGAAGTGATTCGGGAATATATTTTGGAAGCTATCGATATGTCGAGAATACATTCGTTTCACGTTTGTCCATTATTATTACTATCAGTTGTTCCTACTGAACCCCTGTCTCATCAGATAGCGTTTATTCATACCTATTCTTTCTTAAAATTGTACCAAACACCGTTTATTTAGCACACACTCAGAAATTAAATATCTTCAAGTCGAAAAAAAATTATGCAGATCAAAGTTAGCGTACAGTAGGTAGGTGTGTAAAGAATTGGTTATCAAAGTTTTGACTAGACTAATCAGTCAATGTCGTCTGTAACAGTTATATCAAAAATTATATCGATGTCCAATTGTAACAATGGTTTCAAGGTTTTATAGAAAAATATCGTGGATCCACTTTCAAATAGTTTGCGTAATGTCGTGGAACTTAGAAGCAATGTCAATTGGCAATGGTTCTCTGATCATATCAACGTTTGTACTGTGTTCACTGATCACTTATTTCTCCTTATGCTCCAGGAATATCTTTTCATTGCATCCTCTGTTTATGAGTTTTGGATTTCTGTTCTTTATGTTTAATGGTATAGATGTACTAAGTGAAAACATTTTCGGTCCCTTGAAATCCAGGTCTAAAAAGGTACGAGATTTTCCTAAAGCTGTTGAAAGTGTGGGTGTGTTATTTTCTGTACGAAGGTTTGGTTTCTCGGGAAGAGAATCCAACCCCACACAATATTGGGTGGGTTGACGATATCTCTCTATTTTGGAGAAGTTTTGGTAAACTTTGGGGTTGTTCCGAAATAGATTTGGCAGTTTCGCCTTAGAATTTGAGGAATGTCTGGAGGAAACAACAAAATTATGCAGGATTCTGAGGAAATATGGGGAGAACCTGAGATTCCCTCAAAACTTTGGGGATTTCTGTCTGGTCTGAGGAGATTCGAGGCTTTTGTGCTATTTCCTCAAAGCTACAAAATTTTCTTCAAGGTAGTAAGATTGAAAAGTTACATTGTACATAAGGTGGGGGGTTCAAGCTACAAAACTCTGAGTAAAATAGTGTTTCTCTTCAGTCATTATACTCGTCTCCGTTTCGAACTTCATCTGCGTTTCTGCCACCACCTGTAATGTTTCCTTCTACATGGTTTATTAATAAGCTAGAGTTTTGACATCGTAATGGTTGACTGAGGCACAAACGATAAAGGTTATACTCCAAATATATTGCATTACACGAAGCGATAAAAACGGGTGGGCATACTGTGAAGACAGCACTGACATTTCGTGTTTGTGTATTTAATGTTATTATCGGAGGATATATTTGATTTTCTAATATCCTCTTGAAGACAAATACTGACGTAACTAGGGTCATAAGCCAAGGTACCATCTCAGATCGAACAAAGTAGTAATGCACAGGCTACAGAAAATAAAGCTGAAAATTATCATGCAGTTTTTTGAATCTGTTGACCTGCATCAGGAATCATACCTGCAAAGTACGATCCCACGACAGCTAGTTTGTTCTTAAAAGCTATACAATATACGTGTCTTATAAGAATCGAATTTTTATCCGATCGATGATCATTTACGTTTCAGTTTCTCTGAGCAAATAAGTGGGGTATTTTCACTTTAACTTTACACACCTTGCGTAAACTTTTCTACTATGTAAAAAAATAAGGAGCTCCAAAATTGTTGTTCCGAACAGATTTTAGAATGACCTTACTGAACTCTTACTTAGCACTCATAGACTTTGTGCTGTTCTTTAAATCACTCTTTACCCACCAAACAGACATCATCAACGGAGAGTCTGACGCAGGTATGCTTTGATACAAGTTCTCACACTTTTTTGGCACCACAAGATAGAAATAACAAGTCGGATTTTTGTTTGAACTGTATTTCTGAAAATGAATGATTACTCAGTTAATGGGACATTTCAATAAACATTTCATCTCAGACTCCCGGGAACCATATTTCATCTTGTAATCAGAGTTCACAATTTTCCATTCTAATATGATCTGAACTGAATACCAAATGTTTCACTTTTGAAATCCATGCCGAAAATTCAAGATATATACCGCTTTCTTTATTTTGTATCTTAATTACAGATAAAAGCCCACTGGATACTAGAGTCTCTTTCAGTATTATTTATTTTCATTGGTTTTATTGGAATTTATGCCAACAAAATATTAAACGGAAAACCGCATTTCGCCACATGGCACGGACTTATAGGCGCAGTCGCAGTATTTTACTCTGTCTTCCAACTATTTATGGGTTTAGTGTTTCACTTTAACTACAATCTCTGGAGAAGCTTATTGGCTTACAGTAATGGAAGGTTTCTTCATGCTGCATCTGGTGTGGTGTTATCTTGTCTTTTATCTCTCACTTTCATACTTGGTCTTTATACAACTTGGTTTAAAACATATGTCGTTTTATATTTTAATTCATTTAGTCCTTTAGTCTTGTATTTATGTGTAGTTGTAGTTACCCTGAGCACTTTCAAAGTTTTCCTGCAGGTAATCACGAAGTTCTGCAAATGTTTCAAAATAAAACTACTTAATTCTCAGAGAGACGCACAAAGGTAAAATTTATATGGTATTTTAATTGCGTCTGAGTCCTTATGTTTATCGCTATTATTGCTTGTACTAATTTTGTCTATTTGTCTTAATATTAGTTTATAAAGATCTGTGCTAGGGATTTCTTATGATTTCTGAGTTTTTTCCTACAACCCGATTACTCTTTCAAAATAATGTCCAACAAATATTACTGTAGTGGATTGATTACAACATATTTATTTTTAAATTTATCTATAGAATAAAGTTGTTTTAAGTGAACTAATAGTATAGAGGAATAGTACGACTTGCGTAAAAATAAAATTAAACATAGCACATATCGTAATCATGCAGCTTTAATAAATCAAAATTTGCGATTCTGTGTTATTTGGCTTTGTCAAATAAATCCACTGATCTCGATTCAACTGCCTCCCTAAAAGAGAAAAAACAGTATTATTGTGTGATTTAAGATATCATTTACAATCATAGTTTAGTTAGTTGCTTGAATTTTTTTCTTATTGCTCTTATTTAAAGCAATTCATTCAACCTCCATCTTTCTACAAAAAGTTTATTGAAAGCCTGAGTAAAAAATTATCTTTCCAGTGATTCTAATCCACATGTGCCATTTCAGTAGCATCATATAAAGGCCGTTCATATGACTGATAAATCAAAGTGGAAACTTGTATGGTCTCATTAATTTATACTGTAAGCTAGTAAAAGTGTTCCTCATCGGTTGGAATTGGCGAATGTTACAACTATCAGTTTGTAATATGTTTTATGTTCTGAAGACATTCGCACAGCACCCTGATCACTTGGTCTTAACTATATTATGTAATGACTTTAAGATTCCATCATCAAACAAAGTAACCGATCCTTGTATGCTTGAAGGTAGAATCTTGGTTTATGCCTAGAAAAGACTTTTACTTCTCATCTGAGTTGATTAAACTCTTTATTGTTCTAGATTATGCATTCTCCAATAATGACAAAGTTTAATAAAAAGTCAGTTTTTTTCTGTTTGACCAAATGTACAGACATAGGTACAGTAGCCGATCATTTTGGTTTCCCCTAAAACCTAAGCAACGAAGAATATCTGACTCATAGTTTTCCTGATCTGAGCCAAATAAACCAATAGTGATGTGGGTCTATTCTCTCAATCATCTGTCCTATGAAGCAAAAAGAGAGTTAATGGCTAGTTATGTAGTTGACGGTATCAGTCACTTGGCAAACATATGCCTATCGGATGCAATCTATTGCCGAACTTAGCCTGTTGACAAAACAACAATTAATATTAGAAAATGCTATACGACTTGTTTTTCCTCATGAATTTTTGAAGGCTAATTGCTAACAGCAACAAAACGATATATTCGGAAAAACAAGCAGAAACGTTCAACGTGTTTAGTCCAAGTTGACTGAATATCTAATTTACTCTCGGATCACGAATCCTTTTTTAAGAAATGGGACTATATGAAAAATCATGCTTAAAAAGTGTATGAAAAAACATTCTTGTACAATATCTATCGCTGGTTTTTTAAATAGAATACTTATCATAATGATGAAGAAAGCGAAATAGTAACTTTTGATTAATTCTAAGCGTTATGTTCCGAGTACTGACTAAATTGATCCATCAATACATACATCATGGCTAAGACAGTCCTTAACTTTGAAGTACCGCATCGTAGTACAAGGATAATAATAAACTATGGTTCTATTGAGAATTTTTCCCATTATCGGTGTAATCGATTCAATATGGTTGTCACTTACCTATACCTCTCTATGATATAAGCAATGCCGTCACTTATGCTGGTAGAAAATTGTTCTCGAGACCGTATGGCAATGTTTATGATTTGTTTAGTTGTGAGTTTTCGTCTCAGCAGATTCCCAGCGATTGTATATAACTAAAAGAAAGCGTAAAGGATATACAATTAGTTCATTCTTTCAGCATAAAAATAACGTGTTCTAGTTTCATATTTCTTCCAAGTATGAAACAGTTGTTATCCGAATGGTGGAAATTATTACCCGAATCAAAAGCACCTCCATTTTAACATGATGATAAAATAATCCGTAGATTTGTCGTGGTAAGACCTGTCACTTTCAAGCGTGCTGATTTGTATAGCTGTATCCTTTTACAATTGGTAAAACAAGCTGCTTTTTTACTACCACTTCACAATCGACTGAACAAAAGTTTGTTCAACTTATACATATGTAGAATGTTCCTTTGTGCCTTTCATGACATTAAAAGCCACGGGCAGTAATATACCAAAGTTGTATAAATATAGCTCAAAGTCCCGACCGTTGCTGATACCTTGACGTGGTGGTCGGGCTTGTCTATTATGATGAACCAATCGAGCTATACTGGCTGAAACAATCGTTCCTCATGGTCCTAACATGCTAGACAGGTCGGTTGAAGAGCAGTAAGACTAAAAGCAGAAAACCGAAGGTCCAAAGGTGAATTCGTACTGCTGACTCTACAGATGTGTGATGGCAGTAAGATGTTTCTTTCAAAAAAACAGCATAAAAGCGATGCTGCCTTCCCACAAGGAGGGGTCGGGTTAGAAAAAGTCGACCCTAAAAGTGCACACCTCGACTTATCCCACAGATAACCGTCTCCTGCGTTAAGGTCTCAACAGCTACCGAACTAACACAAAAATTGCTCAAGAGAAGGTCGTGTGTGACCGATCTCAAGCAGTTGTCCCTTGGGCACTGCGGTCACTCTCAGGTCACTAAGACCACATCTAACCCAATTTCATTTTCAGGTACCTCCAGAAGAACCCTTCCGTGGTGTGGTCAATTGGGAAATGATAACTACCCTCATACCTCTAACAGCACTCAAGATCACTGTATTCATAAAGAGTTTCGTTCTTCAATTCCTATTATTCCTCCCACCTCGACTTTTAACACTAAACTTCCTCTTTCGGTTTCCATGGCCAACGATTCTGATACGCAAAACACTGTCCCAGGTCTACTGAAACCTCGCTCCAAACTACACATTGGAGCCTTCAACGTACGTATATTATGTCAAATCGGCCAGCAGCCCCCCTCTTTGGATAAAACCCTAGAATCTCGTACGATTGATGTATGCTGTTTTTCCGAAACACACATACAAGATCCTAGTGTGGTCATTTTTGGCTAACCATGATGTCATGTAGAAAATCACAAAAATGTTTTACGATGGTATAATACTTCTAGACCATCTTCAAAACCGAACCAAGCGCTTAATTTTCTTATTGACCGACTTACGGCATAATATTATGGTTTCCTGATAATAAAAGATTTGTAGCTTTATGGATTATATGGTCTTTACTGACAGTAGATTCACATGGGAACTAGTAGATAAGGTGTACTTCAGTAATGCAGCACAATATCATGGACTTTGATGTCCAGCTGAATATTACAAGTCTATAACTGTTCATTATCTTTAGTAAAATAATTCATGACAGTAACCGGAAGATTTGGAACTTGCTTTCCATATTCGAAGAAATACGAAAACCTTAAACGTACTGTTAATGAACACTACATATTGGTATGAGGTCTTGTTGTGAGTTGATAACTACTTGATGTCTATCATCTGAAACCACTTTCTGGAAACATTATTCACTCAAGACAATTACCCTAAAGCTTTACTTTAAAAATAAAAAAAAATGATGATAGACCATGTGATGACATTAAAATAACTTACCACTCCATCATCTTTCGAGTATAGCAGAATAATTTTACCAGATTCAGAATGACAATGAGATTGTAGGTTCCATTTATCGAATAAACGATATGAGAATATTGCAGCATAACTTAATAGTCGATCCTTGTCCATATTACTTGTGAGCAAAATATACAAAAAACGACATGAAAACTCAACCAGTAGTTTACGCAGTTTTATATCCGAACGAAGAATGGTAACCGCTAGGCATTACTCACGAACTATTATTATATATATTCTTACGGGATAACTATTAAGTAACGATTCATACGGCAGAGGATGGTATTTGTGCTCTGGAATGAATTGGTAGGGCTTAGGCCAGAGGCTGCTTTACAGAAGACCAATAAGGACTCGGATTAGACTCAAGGCTGGTCGTACTGGTTAGCCCATCATTGGTTTAGCATAGGGACAATTTCATATAAGTCCATGTTCTGACTGGCGATTATGTCACGTGATAATTGACAGGGCTATAAGACATAACACGCCGTGACTTTCGGTTATTTATTTTTGTCGAATCATAATAATACTATAATGGTCGATTTAAATCAAATCTTGACATACAGTGAAACCTATTTTTACCAAGGCCAATATTGATAAATTTACTTTTGAAATCAGTGTAATAGTCAAATATGAACATAATCAAACGAAAATACTTCTATTACACTTTAACAAGTAGGAAACACTAAAAACTTCTCCTGTGTTTCTATATATTGGATTACTGTTGTAGTATCTGAATTTCAACACTGAGACAGAAAAATTAAAATGTTACTTGTCTAAACATTTCCAATTTTTTCTTGGATCAACTTCAATCACATAAAAATCTTCAGTTAACTGGTTTGTATCTATGATTGTTTCCATTTTCTCAAGATCCTTTGAAATTATTATACGGCGAAAGAGAGAAACCGTCTATCAATTAAAGGAAGAGTATACTGCGTAGCAGTTCGTTCTGTTCTACTTTACGGCTGCGAAACGTGGCCATTAAGAGTAGAAAATACTCGTAAGTTACTAGTATTTGACTACAGATGTCTTAGAAATATTGCTCGCATCCTCTGGGACCACCAGTTAAGTAATGGTGAGGTTAAACGCGAGGTATTGGGGAATGATGGTAAACCAGTTGACGAGGTTGTGAGTCTTCATCAACTGAGATGGTTGGTCCACGTGTTACGTATGCCTGAACACCAATTACCACGACGCACAATGCTACGTTGTAGCTGACTGGATTCTTAAAGTTCAATAATATCGACTTCTCCATTGGGGGTAACAGGCGTAAGCAAGTAATAATATCGACTTCATTTACTATTTGTGACCTCTTTG